GGCCACAGCTCTGGCTGCCAGCGGCCACCAGAAGCTGGGACAGGCAAGCAAAGGACAGTCCCCAGGAGTGCGTGCCTGATGACAACCTGATTTGGCACCATCAACTGAATCAACACTTCTGGTTGCCAGAACTGTGAGAAAATAAATTCCTCTTGTTTTCCACTACCAAGTTTGTGGTAATTTGTTACAGCAGCCCTGGGAAATACACACACCTGACTTTACAAATTATTAGATAGGCTGTGTGTTTTTGGGCAAGTTATGTATTTAACTTCTGGAGTCTGTATCCTCCACTCTAAAGTAGGGACAATTACATGAGCCCTCGGGAGGAAATGTGGTAATAGGTGTAAAGAATAATTGTTACAACTTCTGTTAGACAGTTAGCAAGAGTTACCTTCTTTAATTCTCATAGCTCTAGGATGTTGAGCACCCTATGTCCTCATTTCACAGGTGAGGAAACAGGCACAGGGAAGGTAAATGTGTCCAAGTTACATGGTCAAAGTAAAAAAAATATGATGAGAATAATACTTTTGAAATATTTTTGATGTGTTCTTTTTTTAATATTCTGTGTATCTTATTGCCCTGGGACACCCCATCCCTTGACATAATAGTTTCAGTGTTTCAAGGGGGAGAACAGATATGAATTAGAACAAAGAAGTGACTGTCAGATGGGAATGCTGAGTCTCTGGCACAGGATTAATCTTGAAAGCTAGGCTTTGTCAAGGGAAACAGGGTTTTTAATTTTCCTTCAATATGCATTCGCTTATTAAGAAACAGAACTGGTAGGTATGAAGTCTCCTATGATTGAAAGAATACAAAACATAGAATAAAAGCCTTTCCGTAAGGGAACCGAAAGAAGGAAGCTGGTTGCTTCTGAACCGGAGGGTTATGGGAAAGAAGTGAGAGATGGCAGTAGCGGAGTAGTCAGAAGCTAGCTAACCTGACTTTTCATTCCAACCTCTGGCCTGTTGTTGCTGTTTATCCAGTTCTAACTTTAGAGTATCTACCTCTCTATGTTGTGAGGAATAAAGTTTGGTGGAGGTTTAATGGCTTTTCATTGCACTTGGGATAAACTCCCAATTCCTTACCATGGCCTTGAAGACCTTAAATGATTTGGCTCTATGTCAAAATTTTTACATAAAATAAACCCAACCATAGTAGTGTAGCCAAACAGGGACTCTCTTCCCCACCCCTCATTAGCTCAGAAGCCACAAAAGACTCCAGGCTCCTTCTTGCACTCTATTCTGCCACCCACGTGTGTGGCTGGTCTTTATGGTCTCATTATGGCTGCTCCTTTTTAATAAAGGAGGGAGGGCAAAAGAGCTCGTCTCTTTTTACCGGGAAAATAATAGCCTTTCTAGAGAACCACACAGTAGGCTTCACCTTCCATTCAGGATGGCCAGGGAGGGTCATATGGCCCCTTTAGCTGCAGGGAGCACAGGGAGATCATTTTTTCACTGGACACATTCTACACAGGACAGAGAAGAAGGGAGAAGGGGTAAATGGGCATGGGGAAGCAGTGAATTGTGTCTGCCATGCTTCATCACAGATCGTGCCCCCCAGCTTTCTACTGTGCTCTAGCACATTGACTTTCCCATTCCTTGATTATGGCCAAGTCCTTCCAACCATAGAGATGTTGCACGTAGAGTCCCCTCTGCCCGAAATGCTCTTTCCGCAGCTTTTCCAATGGCTGGCAGTGTCATGTCTTTAGGTATCTCTCAAATGTGATCTCCTCAGAAAAGCCTTCTCTGACACCCCTCCCCTATAATCCCAAGTAGTCACTGCTGCTTGTCATTTTTTCCCACAGAAAGTTGTCTGTCTCCTTCATAGCACTTCTCCTAATCTGCAATTCCTAGAATATTTATAGTTGAAGCCCATCTCCTAGAAAGTAAGCTTCATGAGAGTAGGACCTCATCCATCTTGTTCACAACTGCATTCCTGGCACGTAGGGCAGTGCTTGGGAAATAGTAAGTAATCATTGAATACTAGTAGTTGTTGTATCCTATATAAGGCTAATATGCAAATTGTCCCCTCAACTGGGAGTTCGACCAGGGGGTGGGACTGGCTGGCCAACAGCCTGCAGCTCCCCCCACCCCCACCAGCCTTGCCCCTGGCACCCCCCGTCCCCCAATCTGGGGCAAGGCTGGCTGGACCCCACCCATGCACAAATTCATGCACCAGGCCTCTAGTAATGAAATAAATGGAAAAAGGGACAGTTGGAATTCTTACTGTTATTTTTAGCATACCTATCAATTCCAGTAATCGCATACACTGCTTTCCTATTTAAAAATATGTATTTCTCAGTTTTTGTTTGTCTTACCAACTATTATGATACCCTTTTTAAAGTTGGTATGTGGCTTCTAAATAAAAAATAAATTAAAAACAAATAAAAAACAAAAGCCATCACTCAAGTTCTGATGACACCCATTTAACTTGGGATGTGAGTAAATGGACAGTTATATAAAACAGTCAATATTTTGAGGTGGCATTTTGGTTCTGCCCAACAGTGGACTGCAGCACATACTCACTGGGTAAGTTCTAGCAGGCCTGGGAGTAGTCTGTGAGGGGAGGAATGCAGGAGACCCAGCTGTCTGTACTAATAGTGTTGCAGACCTGTGCCATGGACTTGGTTTTGTTTGCATAGTTGTGTGGGTCTTTAAACTAACTCCACTCCAACCTCCTTAAAGAATGTAGAGTTAGAAGACTAGGGTTCAGAGAAGTTCCCATAACTCCTTTCTGTTTTTCCCATTCTTTGAACAGATGTTTTGTAACTCACTGCCTTACCTCTCTCCTCCCTAATGTCAGCAGACTTTAAAATGAGCTGAACCTTTTATTTTTTTAAGTATGTTTTTATTGATTTTAGAGAGATATAGGAAGGGAGAGACACGCCCTATACTGACTGGGAATTGAACAGGTGACCTTTTGGTGCATGGGAGGACATTCAACCAACTGAGCCATAATGGCTAGGGTGAAATGAGCTGAACCTTTTAAACAGAACCTACCTAATACCTTTCCATCTTAAGCAGAGGTTGATGGTTGTTGACAACATTGACATCAATACTATCTGACCAGAGAAAGCTAAATCCAGATATTTTTTAAAAAGCAAGTACAACACACACACATTCTTGATCTATCACAGGTTTATAACAAAGGACGAATAATAGATTGTACTAAATAAATACTGACTCGAAGATGTTCCCTGGAAATTTAGTTTTTGTTTTGTTTTTTACCTTAGTTACTATACATACTTATGTGTTTATATTTTTCCCCCTCCTGTAAAGGGAGGGGTGAAAAAAGTTGAATCAGAATTTGGACTGCTGGCTCCTAACTGCTCGCCTGCCTGCCTGCCTGATTGCCACTACTGCTTCTGCCTGCCAGCCTGATCCCCCCCTTAACCGCTCCCCTGCTGGCGTGATTAACACCTAACTGCTCTCCTGCAGGCCTAATCACCCCCAACTGCCCTCCCCTGCTGGCTTGATCTCACCCTCAATGGCCCTCACTTCCCCTGTAGGCCTGATCTCTCTCCCAATTGCCCTCCTCCGCTGGCCAATTTGGTTCTGATCCATCGGTTTCTATGCCAGTCAGTATCAAAAGTTGCGCCTCCTAGGCAGCCATTGGCTCCTCACAGTTGACCCAGACTTGGTTCTGATTGGTTGGTTTCTATGCCAGTCAGCATCTCTGGGCCTAGCAATGGGGCCTTATCAGAAAAGCAGGCTGATCAGCAGCCTGGGTGGAAGACTGGAGAGAAATGGAAGCAAGTGCTGATCAACAGCTGCCACAGAGGCTACAGATCAGACCCTGCTTCTCTCTTCCGGCCTCTCTCCAGGCCTGATTTGCAGTCCCTTCAGCAGTGGGTGCTGGGTCCCCATGGCAACCCAGCACTGACTGCAGGACTTACTTCCGGTTGGTCAAGCCAAAAGCAAGTACATTTTAATAATACTTCACTATCCAAAAGAACTATCAAAGATAAAGCTGTAAAGACACATTTAATTCAGTAATACCACTGCATGAGCTGACTTCTACTTCCTTGAAACAGAAGACTGGGGACATGTTGAAGAGTGGAGTGTGCCAAGGGAAAGGCACTGAGGGGTGTTGAGGGGTGTTATAGGGGGGGGTGGATGACCTATGTGATAAGGCCGGCTGGGTTTGTTAATTGGCGCTCATCGGTGGAGAAACAAATTTCAATTTTTAAAGCAGGAGGCAGTTGTGCAAGTGGAAGAAAGGTGCCCCTTAAGTTGGGCCCTTATCCTTCCACCCGGGGCTGGGAGATAGTACAGAGCCATATCCCCCTGGATGTTTGCTTTTCAAAGACGGGGGCTCTCAGGTCCTTAAGAAACAGTTCTGGGTGGCCGATTTGCAGCACCAAGGGCAGAGAAAGGATTTATAATAGCAAGCCTTCTACAGAAAGGGGTCCTGGGTCTCCCTGCCAATCGCCAGGTTTTTCATGGAATAAACAATAAATTCTCCTGGCAGCGGTGAGATTGTTGAGGCAGGCATTTAAAGCGGGGGTGGGGGTGCGGAGGGTGTGGGCGGGTGTTGCTGCTGGGATCCTCCCAGGGACGCCCTTAAGCTGCTGGAAGCCGCAGTGGAGCTTGGCCAAGTCCCCAGGCGCAGTGGTTTAGATGGAGTCGTCACATGACAAGAGTTCTGCAGTCTTAGGAGCTGTGCTCCTTCAAGTTTGATTACTCTGGGTTTTAAAATAGAGGTTTCATAATGTCTGTCGATGACACACCACTATAACATCTCACTATGTACTTCAAAGTTAAATATTTGCCACATTCATAAGATAAGTCCTGGTTACAAGTTGTTTTTCCAAATTTCAGTTGGGCAGTTTATCTGATTTTTTTTTTAAAGGGGATCTTTTTTATTCATTTTAGAGAGGGAGGGAGGCAGGAGAGGGAGGGAGGCAGAGCATCCACCGGTTGCCTCCGGTGCGCACCCCGCCCGGATGGAACCCGAAACCCAGGTGTGTGTCCTAACCGGATGGAGCCCGCGACCTTCCGGTGCTGGGACCACCGTCCCACGAACCGGGCCACCGGCCGGGCGGCTGGTCTAATTTCTGCCTGGGCGTCGCCCCTCGGATCCTGCTCCGGGCTGAGTGCCTATTTCACAGATGGCTTACTCCTCCGGTTTGTCAGGATCACCCCGGGCAAAGCGTTGCGAAATGTAGCGACTGCAGCGAATAACTGGTAAAAAAGTAAGAGAAGAGCGCCAGCTCCGCCGACCGCACCCCTTCTCTCCCTCCCTCCCTTCCCTGCGGCCGCTTCCTCAGATATGACTAGGACGCGCGTGACTCAGTACAGCAGCTGTTTGTAATCCTTCCTGTCCCCCAAACAGGGCAACAAACTCCTCCTAACCCCCTTCCCTTCTTTCTCTCTCCCCCTTCCACTTCCTCGCCTTCTTTCACTCTCGCTATTCCCTGCCCCGCGCCCCCACGACGCCTGCGCGGAGTGGGAGATCCGAGAAGGCGCGCGCGACGCAGCCCGACGGTCTTTGCTTTGCGGCAAAGCCGTAAAGCGCCGTCAAGCCCCGGCGGTCCCCGCTCCGGCCTGCTGTTTCCCGGGCTGCGGGGGCTGGGAGCTTCGGCGTCCGCGGCCGGTCTGGCTACTCGCACCCCCTGGGGGAAGCGCAGGACTGTTATTTTGGGAGGGCTCCTGGTCCCCTAGGGTTTATGAGATTAGAGTCTAATCATTAGACCCAGCGACTCCCTCCGGGAACGGGAGGGCGGCCGGGTCCTAGTGCCCGCTG